AAAAAAAAAAAGGAAAAAAAGATAGAGAGAGAAGCAAAGGCAACCTAGCAAACTAAATATGTCCTTGACTTGGAAAGTTGAAGATTCAATGATGAAAGGCTTTCTTTCTCTATCCCAAACAGTTAACATTGTTCTTTGCTTACCCCTTTTGAGCCAAAAAAGGTAATCATCTAAGTTTAAAAAAGCCGAGATGATTTTCTTCTATCAACCCACATCAATGCCCGAGGTCGTGAAGAGAGAAATGTGAGGGGAATATATGGAGAAATTGATTTTGAGCCTTTACCCTTTCTTTCATAATAGCTTAACCCCAAGCCACATTACAAGCCCATATAAAGTCCTTATTTGAGGGTTTGAAACTTTCTTTGTCAAGGAACATTAAAAAAAAAAAAATCCTTTCTCTAGCAAGTCCAAGTCAATTAGTATAACTGAAAGCTTGGTGGTTTACGATCAGTCTTCTAAACATTGAAGGTTAGTTCATGGGAAGGAGATAGATTGGATTTGTCCACCTTGGCATGGAAGTAGACATTGTCTCATATGTTAAAGACTGGATTGATGGAGTTACAAAGAAATAAATTCTAGAAGCAAATACTTTATAGCCTGAATGCCTTCTAGCTTTGTTAAAATTGTTGCATCAAAAGTTGTGCAATTCAAAAATCATGTTTATCTCTTTCTATCCATTCATATTATCCATGCCCTAGCCTTCTTTTTCTTGTTTAGATTGGGATGCGATCGATTATGATGCTTTATTTCAGTTAATATAATTGTTGAAATCTCTTGACAAATCTTTAAAAAAAAAAAAATGAAAGTTGTAGAGAAAAGTAAAAGCTTGAATCAAGGATCATGGTACTTATTCTCTCTTGTAATGATTCGAGAATTTTCCCTAGTGAACTAGAGATACTCTCAAGTCACTGAACTTGATGCAAAGCATGTCATTGAGCCTATTAATGCATACACAACATGAAGGACACTGGACTCCTGCCAAGTAAGCACATTCAACATGTTCAAGGAAGTTTCTTAACCTTTCTTCATTTTAGCTTATCTTATATGTGAAAGTCATCTCACTTGCATTTGTTTCATTGTTACCAGATCTTCGAAACATTAGTTTCATTCAGCCCTTAGCCACATTTACCTTTGTTTGGCTCTGTTGATGCTCAATTTGCTCGATCATTCGACTATTGCAATATAAACACAAGCACAAGCACAAACACACACACAAACTTGCTCGGTCATTTGACCATAGCCATTCAACTAGCTTGGTTATACAACTATTGCTACTCAACTGGCTCGGTCGTTTAACCATGGCTACCCAACTTGCTCGGACCGTGGATACTTTACTTTTTCAGTCATTAGACCATACTCATACTCTACTTTTTCGGTCACCCAACCATACTCATATATTACTTTTTCGGTCATTCGACCATACTCATACTCTACTTTTCTGGTCACTCAATCATACTCATACATTACTTTTTTGATCATTCGACCATACTCATAATCTACTTTTTTCAATCATTTGACCATACTCATACTCTACTTTTTTTTCGGTCATTTAACCATATTGATGTTCCACTTTTTCGGTCATTCGACCATACTGACACTCTACTTTCTTCAGTCACCTGACCATACTCATACTCTACTTTTTTGGTCATTTGACCATATTGATACTCTACTTTCTCCAGTCACTTAACCATACTAATACTCTACTTTTTTTAGTCATTCGAATATACTGATACTCAACTCTTTTGGTCATTCGACCATACTCGTACTCTACCAACTTGTTCGGTTATAAAACCGTTACCACACAAGCACAAACTTGCTCGATCGTTTGACCATAGCCACTCAATTTCCTCGGTCATTTGACCGTAGCTATTCCATGTGTTCGGTCATTTGACCATTGTGATTATATAACCATTTACAATCACCGTTTACAATCACTATCTACAATCACCTTTTAGAATCACTATTTACAATCACTTTTTACAATCACTTTTTACAATCACCATTTACAATCACCATCTACAATCACCTTTTCACAATCACTTTTTACAATCACTTTTTACA